GAAAGAAACTTTTCGTTCTTTTCTTCAACATGTTTTAAAATCAATGGTTATGTGCAGCCTGCCTTTTCTTCTTAGGCACTGTGTTGATGTAAAAGTGAATAAACGTGAACAGAATGTCACACAATATTTGTATATCTACTGATATAGAGGTTGAAATAATGCCAATAATTTAAATTGAATAATGTGGGGTACTGCTTAATATGTTGGTTGACCTAATTACTTACCCATTTACACTTTCGCAGGTATGCAATTTAAATTGAAAGAGACATTGTAAAACAACAACTGAAGTACTTTTGCGGTCTGATCTCTCCCATGAATATCAAACTCTTTTTTTAAAATAACAAGAAGGGCAGAAACATCAAATTACAAAAAGGCAAAGGAACTATACACAGTGGACGGTTTCCTGATTATGAAGGGTTTACCATGGCCAAACTAAATCACATAGAAGCACCATTCTTTTGGAAATACACATCTCTAAGCCATTTTAGACCAACTGTGAAAGAATACTTGCACTTGCACAGTAAGAGTGACAAGCCACTGAAGTTAGACATTTTCACTTTGTCCTTTCTTTTTTTATTTCTCTTTGGGCATGCCTTTTTTATTATGTCATGCTGTTGCAGTTTAGAAAAGTCGTAGCTAAAGCGCCTTCAACTTGTTTTATATGTTTGATAACAACAACATGTCATATTTTAATACAATATATTGGCTTTGACATTGTTTTTCGTTCTGTATTATAAGGATTTAAAAACATGTTTTATACCAAAATTCCCATACAGTATGTTCTTAAATGACACTGCAGGTGATATAATGATGTAACAGTTGAGGGTTGTTAATGTAGAATAGTATTCCTTCCCACTGGGATGTGGACTGCCCTTTGACCCTTCTCCTGTGTCCTCAGTTGGGATTGCTTCATCTTCTTCCTCACCTGATTTAAAGGAGGGGAAACTTCCTCACGTCTTCACATGTTTCCAGCCGGTGCCTCTATCTCTTTCCCTCTAAACACCTCACCTCTCTCTGTGATCCGTTCGCCCCACTGTGCTTCTGCAAGGCACTAAACCGGAGTGAGCCTGGAGCTGCTGATCCTGCTTGGTCTGTCTTTGTCACCCTACCTGCACACCAGAAGAGGAAATGGCTGCAGCAGCTTCAAATGGGCAGGTGTACAGTATATCATTTTGTATCATGAACGATGTGTGAATACAGTATGTGAAAATTAATTTTGTGTTTATTACAAAAATAAAATCTTGATCACAGATTGCAAATCTCAGTCCTTATCCTCTCTCTTTTGGATTTTATTCAAGGCAGGTTCACGGGCTAATTGATTTTATATTTCTGGTTGAGACATATTTTTAAGTTTGCTTTTAGGTCATACAGTGTTACAGTAAGTGCAATTTCCAATAGGTATCAACTCAGTACTAATTCCTGAGTTTCAGAACTGCCCTCATTCAGGAGCACTTCATGAAACATGACCACCTGGACCACTGAAGAAGGGGAGCAGCACTATGGGACTCCCTGATTCTGTACATGGTCGTTCCTACCTCTGTCTGATCATCAGAAACTGTTAGGAGCCTGTTAGGAGCTGCTTAGACAACTAAGAAAGAGTTATACATTTATGATCTACATGTTATAGGTCTGTGTTGTGAAGTAGAGAATTTTAAACCAAGGAGTGCAGAGAAGGATACAACAAATGTTTCAGCGAGCAATAGATTTAATTGAAGGTGTCAATGTGCACCGAAGATTTAAGGATCGGTTGAAACATAAACCAGGAGACATGAGGATTCCCTAGGTCCAGGTTTGGTTTGGGAACCACTGTTTCACAGTTTTGTGAAAACCTTGTTGAGCTGTTAAAATACATGTTTTTTTACTACAAATCTGGTGATTTGTAAAAATTATTTTAATACTTTTTAGTGCTTTGACAAAGGTTTCCCTTTTCTTATGAAATCCACTTGTTACTTATTACTGTACATAAGAATGGAAGGGAAACCTTGACTGTTGTGGAATAAAAATACAATGAATCGTTAAGTGCTGACAATTAAATGTGTGATTAAGAAAAAAATAAATGACTAAAATTACTAACTAAAGGGTACAACAATGATCTTAATGTGTCAGAAATGACAATATACGAAGAAGATGAAAAATAATACAAAACTAAAACGGCTGCCTTTAATAGAAAGGCTATCTGTGTGCTTTTATTCTCAGATCCAGATCAGAAACTGCAGCAAGTAGCTCCAGCTGTGGAACATTTCTGCTCTGGAAATTGGAAATAATGATTTGACCTTAATTTTTGCGTGTTATCTTCAATTGTATGTGTTATGTTACACATTGTTGTTTTAATACATAGATTAATATTTGTTTTAGTAATAATAATAATACCTTTTCAGTAACACATCAGCGGTCATATAATTACTTAACCTATGGCCATCTTCAGTTTTATAACTTACTAAAAGCTGTGGTCTAAGAATTGACTGGAGGCTGTTCCTCATTTCTGTCGGTGTACATCGTCCTTTTAAGTTTCCCTTTAAGCATTTTAGCGCATGCGCAATCTGGTTTTTAAACTTTTTAACTACTGAACTTCGAAGAAACTTTTCGAATACAGAAAAACGAAGAAAAAAAGATTACGTTAAAATGGCTTTCAGGAAAAGAAACAAGAGTTATCCATTCTTTAGCCAAGAGTTTCTCATTCAAAATCATGCAGACATCGTCTTTTGCCTGGTGGTTTTCATCTTAATTGGATTGATGTTTGAGGTGAGTTGATTTCTGGACGCTCTGATGTCTTCGTGCATTTTTGTCCCAAAATGTGTATGGGCTGGTCCGACGGAGATAATCGCTTGGGATTTTTTTTCCTTTTAAAGGCTACATTGTTGCAGAGCCCAAAGGTTGTCTGGTTTCATGATGTAGCCGAGCCGATTAATCCCGAGCGAAACTTCTAACAGATGACAAGTCATCTGTAATAAGATTGTACAGCGATTGTACTTTGTAGTTGGTATAGATAACCCAGAATTGAAATGAGGAACTATGACAGTAAATTTCATAATTAATAGCGTTTTAAGCAAAACGTATGCCTTGGTTAACTAGAGACGTCTTCCCTCGTTAGACTTCAATTGTTAGAACTCAGTTGGTATTTGTCGGATTTCTTTTACTTCTTGCACGGAGCGAGGTCTTTTTTGTGTGTGTTAAAAGAGATCGCCTTTAAAAAACAGATACTGCATGAACTACTTTAACCCTAGTGACTAGTTTGATAGGTATTTTTCAGAGTTTTCGTTTGTAAATCCGGAACGGGATGGGAAATAAAACCGATTTATCAAGGGGTGTCAATAAAATTAGGAAAGCAGACATTTTAATCAGAGTGTTTAGGTTTGTGGTTACCCGAGAAAGGTATTTAGGATTTATATAAACGTCTGCATTTTCCTTGTTGGCGTCGAGGCAGTTTTTTTTAAGACTGGTTGATTTTTTAAAAAATTATTTTCCCGTTTCCTCAAACAGCACCGTGCAGTATCTCCACTGAGATTTGGTTTGGTCCTCAGTGCCACGTCTTAATCTCTCAACTGGACTGCGGTCTGCTTTTTTCGCTCTGACTGTTATGTGGGGCTTTGGTTTTGCAAGGTCGGGTAACGTTTATTTAAAGCTTTTAAAAACAGGTAGTTTTACTCATGCGAAATTACAATTTAAGATGTATGTGAACTAAGTGTTTTAAGCATTGGATTATTTTTACACCCAGTGCTGTCTTCCATACCAAAACGTTCTACCACCTAATATTTGCTTTTGCCGATTTTGTTCTGTAATATCCTTAAAATGATTAAACATGCCGGCTTTTGATCGTAAACGCAAGGAATGTGTACAGTCCGTTAAAGCCTTATCCAAATAAATATTTGATTTACAAATCAGTCTATTTTCTTTTAAAAAGGAGCGGAGAGTTAAAAAAATCATGCATTTACTTCTTGAAAAGAAGAATACTTAGTTTGGGAAGGTTTAGATTTAATTTTAGGTGTTCAGTGAATTCCCACCCTCTAGGCATTCCTTTTTCCCGAGTGTTTCACAGCTTCAGAAACCAGAAATCGTCACACTGTCAGACGCTTATAGTTAATGTAAGGCCTAAATATTGGGACAGTATGATATTATCGTTTTATAGCCTTCATACTGTACGTTAAATAAATCTATCTTCAACCCTAACCGATATCAGTTTAGTGCTAAATGGAGGCTCCAACAATATTCTTGCAGTAGCTATTGTATTCTGTACTGTACATACAGCATATACTAGTGAGCTGTACACGTATACCGTAGTGAAACGTGTTGGAAGTGCAGCGTTATAGCCTGAACGTAGTGCTGTCGTATCTTCATCTGACTAATAGCTAAAAATGGAGCTCTGGTTTTTCCGCGACGATCCCAAAAACTTTGGTATGAATACTGTCATGAGTATTTGTATCAGGCACTGCACAATACACAAGGCCGAGCTGCCAGATACAGCTGTTTCTTTCAGCTCTGTTTTGTGCTTGTGGTTATTCTCAGTTTCAAGGCTGCTCATTTGAATGCGACAGAGCTCTGAGCAGATGTTTCAGAGTGATACTTGAAATGACATGCAGATATTTTAAAATTGCCAGAACAACCTACAAGTATTTACTGCTCTGTGTTATGTTCCCAGCCTTGATACCTATACAATGTGTGTGAGGCTGGAGGTACAGTATGTTCACTTTTCAACATGGGGAGAAAATATCACTTTTCCTAGATTTATACCTCCTGTATCCAAGATTGTACATTAACAGGTAATGTGGAGATGTCCCTGTAATGTACAGTCTCTCCTTATAAACCAAATGGCATCTTTTAATTAATAATTTTGGTACCTTAAGATGTGGGGTCTACTTTAACCTGTTGTTGAGTTTCATTTTGGCAGAGAATATAGTAGTAAAACCAATGGGAGTCAATAAGAAGATTTGATTGTGTGTGGCCTTGTCCTGCTACCTCGATCAGAGTATTGATTTAATCAAAGTACCACATATTAGCATGGGAAAGTTTAGCTTAGCAATAGGGTTTATCTTATTGACCTGATGATTAATGTAGCTTTCACTACATTAGTAAATGTACAGTAGTGTATTAGTAAATGGGAATGTAGCTAGGCTTGGCCTATGCCTTGATGTAGGTTGTACTTTAGCTCACAAAAACTATGAATCAAGATTAAACATCTCTTGGCTTCCCTAATGAGTGTCACAGTTTATTGCCTGGAAACATGTCCAAAATCACAGACTGGAACCCTGAAACTGTAAAATGGGTATGTTTTAACTCCACCCACTTGACAAGGTTTAAGTACAAGTACTCGTCAACAGTAGAAGCCATTTCATTGGGCAAGTCAAGCTGCACCTTTTCCTAGTGACGTTTAGGAAAAGTCTTTTTTTTTTGTATTGTTCAACTTAACCCGATGAGCAATGTGGGCTGAATGTCTTTCCTTCCTAAAGAAGCTTTATTGTTCCACTATATGACATATATTGCATAAATATGGAACTATCACAGTTATGGGAATATTGAAGAACAGTACATTAGTTCTGATAGCTTGGCCTACGTTTTTGATAATGGGAAATAACATTCTGCCTGCTTATTATGAGGGTTATAAAGCAGATTGAATTATTTTATTTGCAGATATGATGCATAAAGACAAAAAAATATGAGACAGTGCTTTATGCAAAGAGTTATACAGTTCAGGAGCAAACTGCCTAGCCAAACTGTTGATGCTGGCCTTTGAGAAGCAGCAGAACAGTATTTTATGATCAGTGAATTTCTTGCAATAACAAAAGCAGATTGAACTCTAACTATGCTTATGTTCTTATGATATGCATGACTGAGGAGCAAATCAGAAAAAAAATACATACATTTCTTATTTTTCAGGCAACAGCAAAAACATCCTTCCTGTTCATCCTCCCACAGTACAACACTAGCACTTTCACATCTGGTAAGTCCATTTGGTTCAACAGACCAATAAAGAAGTGGAATAATACATTTCAATCCTTCTCAGTAGAGTTGTAAACCAGTCCTTGAGGTTGAAATTAATTCTTATTATAATTTGATATTTATCATTCTGAAGTTTAAATACTGTAAAAAAAACATTAACCCTTTACTATACAAGTAAGAAGCCAACCTTTAAAAATATGAATGTGTGTTTACAGAAAATGTTATTAAAATAAATTGATGTGAAGATATTTAGTAAAACAAAGTATTTAAATACCACATCCCACTTTTCCTGTACAGTATGTTTTTGTACGTGGCATCAATCATGTGGCATCACATGACACATTTGCCTTTGTGTCATTCTATATAAATCAAGCAAAGATAATGTGGTAAAAACATTATTAGTTTATTAATCACAATTTACATGTATATACTGTATTTTACAGTCCTAAAGCTGGATATTTGGAGAACATTTGCATTGCACCTGTGCTACAGTACAGTATGTTTTAGTGTGAACAGTCTCTATACAGTATATGCCTCTGTCAATGACTTTGGCAAATGACGTTTGAATACAGATTTAGTGTAGCCGTAAACAAGAACATTTCTGATGTTCAACAACTGGCGTGCTGTGCCCTCCGGATACAGCTATACTGCTGATGAAAGGTTTTTTTGTTCCTATGACAGAATAAGTTATGGATTAGATAATGTCCTGCGGAAAACATTTCTACAAATGTTATAGTGTGGTTGTAATAAGATTACACAGTGCAAAGTCATAATTTGTCATAATTTAAATCCAGAAAATGCAAAGGTCTCCTTTATTGACACCTCTTTTAGTTAGCATTTTCCATTGCCTCTTCTGTCATGTATGGCATTAATGCCACCTGTGGTGTGCTTTGGGGTTCTACCAGCTCCAGGGAGGGATTTCTGTTCATTCCTCAATGCAGAATTTCTGCTTCAGACCCTTTGGTTTCCATATGTGACCAGGTCATGTTTTTTTTAAGATTAGATACGTGTTAGAAAGTGAAAAACAGAGGGAGCTGAGAAGAAGCCTCAGCTCAGACTGAGTGAGGTCATTAGTTGGCTGCTCCCAAGACCAGTATAAGAACCACTGATATCCTCAATCTGTGTCAGTGGTCCAGACTCTGCTATAGTGGGTAAACGTTTCACATTTGCAGGAGATACAGATAGTGAAATAATGATTGCCTTTCAGATCAATTGATTAATGTGAGTCAAAAGTATAGAATTTCAGCGTTTGTTTCAGGGTATTATTTTGCATACGTGTTTAGCCATGTTGTCATTTGTTGTGTTCCAGCCCATGTGTTAGGAGAGCTTAAGTATTGGGATAAATGGCTGACAGATAATTCTAATTAATTGTAGAAAATAAAAACTCATATTAATCCCAATACTTTTGGTATTCACTGGAGATGCTTTTGCAAACACAAAGTAACAGCAGCTTAAGCAAGAAGAGGTTAATGTTAACCATTGTATGGATGACAAATGTGTTGTAAGTGTAAGATAATACATATATGAAGCAAAAAATGTGAACTTCAAATATGAGCTGTCTATGGTCTGTTTTTCAGTTTGCAAATAACCTTGACTTGTTCATTTGCAGCCATAGCACATTGAAGAAGCTCTCCACTGAAATATATTGTAAAGAAGGCCTTACTTACTAGTGCATGATACAGTTCCATCCCTTGATTTAGATTGTTTTACTGTATCTCCCAACGTCTTGTTCATTTTTTGCTTTCATAAGTTTCTAGAAAATGTAAAATATTGCTGTACACACCTAAATCTTTTTTTATAAATAGCCTCTTCTATTTCAGCTTTTCCATTTTGTCTATAGTTTTTTTTTCTGCCTGCGAGTAATATTCTTCACTTGCCTACATTAAATACATCTGTTAGGTAATTTCCCAATCTTGAATTTTATTTTTTAAGATTTACTTGCTGCTTACTAAATTTTCTATTTTTGTATCATCTGCAAACTTCACAAGTTTACAAATAGCCAGAATCTTGATCATTGATATGTCTGTAAGATAGGAAGAACAGTGGCCCCAGTACAGATTCCTGTGGTACCCCAGTAATTACATCTCCTTAGTGTAAGCTTTCATTCCTTATCTCTGCTGTTTTCTACCTGATAAGCAATTTTATATCCAAACGAATGCATTTCTCCAAATATCCATCCTCTGTAATTTAAGAACGGATCTTTGTATTTAATATTCATCATAAGAGGATTCAAAAGCCTCAGTACTCCATGTCTCCATTGCTGGTGGTTTGTGTTCAATGGAAAGACAGACAAGTACCTTTTTTAAATCTACACATTTTCCCTATTGACCTAGAAGCATATTGCCAAACAACCATAATGCTGTTTAGTTGTTCTTCAAATGACCAATGTGAACATGTGTATGAGTGCTATTGGATATGTATTTACAGGTGATAGAGCAGCTGCTTTTGCAGTAAAGTAAGTTCCTGGTATGGATGTCATCTGTGCATGATTAAGGGAATTGGAGAAAACTGTTGTGTAGGTTCCAGTAAAAGAGCCCATTCTCCAAAATAGAGACTTGAAAGTTTTGTCTCACCTTGGAAATGACATGTTAAGGTGGAGTGGGAGGATAAGAGGAATGCAGTTTTGGATGTGGGAAATCTTCCTGGGACTGATGGCATGGGTACTGCTTTTGGCTTGGTTTGGGATCTGTCTGGAAATCTTCTTTGCACAAAACTGACAAATAAACTAGGCTTTGGAACTCAGTCTCATCTCTGCATGAACACAAGGAATAAGAATTTTAGTATATTTGTGATGGAAATAATTATAAAGGAAATAACTGTTTGAATCATTAGGCTTGTATTATAGGTTATTTGTGGATAGTTCATAGAAAAACCATCTAAGATAGGCATAATGGTATATGAACTGTTAACAGTGTATTTGAGAGATAGCTGGAAGCTTTTGTACTGACGTAAAAATCACCGGAGTTTGCTATAATGGAAGGCGGCACCTGCAGTGTCCTCATTGTATCATTTGTCGAGTTTAAGGACAAAGCCAGAAGAGGAGGAGAAGGAGAGCTCTCCTTCCCAGCTGACAAAGATGTTAACATAGCTTGGCCACATCCTGGTACATATGGTGCTACTGTTGAAGATGCATTCAGGCTGAGAGCCAATTCAGCTAGTCTGATAGGAGTCTGAGGTGGTGGATCTTGCAAAGTCCGCCTGTTGAATGTGTCTGATAGGAATGATGCAGTGGTAATTGTAATGACAGGTGTGTGATGAAGTCTGTGGTGAAGATGAAGCCTTCTGGACCCTGAAACCGAAAACTGTCACATACTGTATGTACAGTTGTTAGGAGTGTGTAGTTAGTGTCCTTTACGTATGTAGTGAAACCCTCAAGAAATGGTCTCATCAAGTTGTAAAGGAAAGAACGGAAGAAAATCTCTAAAGGAAAGTTGGACATTTGGATTATGTTGCTTGTTTGATAGTTTATTTTATTAGTGGATCTAAGATTTTGTTCAGAGTTTGGATCTTAGAACTCTCACACTCACAGAACTCTTGTGTTTCTAGCTCTCCAATTTATATCTGTTGCCTTTTAGTTTCCAGTTGTGACCCTCGGTACATGAGATGAAATTGTCCAGCTACTTCCAAGTAGACATGATTCGGGAGTTCTGAGATATCTTGTGAATCTTGGAAGAGAGGTACTACTTTGATGCTTGTGAATGTTGAAGTGGATACAACCTCCTCTTTTTAGTTATTGGTTGGATCCGGTGGAAGGAAACAGTACTCAGAAGTGTTGGTGGTCTTGTGGCTGCAGTAATATACAGTCTCTTTTGCCATGCAGCACCACCACCCCTGCCAGCAGCCTGACAGTGTTGTTCCTGTTGTGGAGTGGTTGGAGTGCCTGAAGTTCTCCTGGGGTGAAGCTGGGAGCAGGCAAGGTGCTGGGCTTTACCAAATTCATTGTTATACAGAGTTTATATTCTCAAAGGTACAAATATGGATACAAAATTCAGATGGGTGGCAGAATGGAGCAAAGGTGTTGCCTTGCAGCACTAAGGTCCTAGGTTCAGTTAGAGATCTGGGGAGCTATCTGCATAGAGTTTGTGGGTTCTCCCTCTGTTCGTATGGGTTTTTGCTGAGTATTTTGGTTTCTTCCCACAGTCCAAAGACATTCTGGTAGGTTAATTGGCTCCTGGGAAAATTAGCCCTGGCGTGCGTGTGTGCGCGTGTGCGCGTGTGGCCCGCAATGAACTTGTATCCTGCCTTGCGCTCATTCCTTGCTGGGACAAGACTCCAGCTCCCCTGTGACCCTGTATTGGATAAAGCGGTTGAAGATCAATGAATTTCAGAGATGATGACCTTCAGATCTTCAGTATGGAAACAAATTGCAGACATATAATTAAAAATCGAAAAAAAAATCAAGTTAATGAAGGCAGTGCATCTTTTTAAGTCTGTTTCAATTAGAATCATTGTACAGCAGTGTTCAGAAATAATGGGATATTAACCAATTATGGTCTTTGTTTCTTATAGTCAGCCTGAAGTGAGTAATGTGTCTCTACCATGAGAATATCTGCCCTTATTTAGTCATAACTCTTTATACATCTGCAGAGTTTAATCAAATTTCCAGTCTTGTGAGGTGGGTATCCCACACTCTACCAGCTTCCTAAGCTATGACTACTGCTCAGGGAATTCAAATCAACCATGAAGAACAAAGAGCTGTGAAAACAAATCGAGGATAAAATGGAAGAGAGCCATGGATCTGGAGGTTACTTGTGGAACAGTAGAAGGTTAACTGGAATGTGTAATATACCACCCACACATGACCTACAGTAGATCAGGCTACCCGTCCAAACTGAGCAGCTGGGCAAGCAGGAAACAAGTTAGGGAACCCACTTCAAAGTAGAAAGCTTCTTTTTTCAGGAAGGTTTCTCTGCAGCTAGCTGTATGTTAGAAATTAAAGAATAGGTTGTAGCATCAGCTAGCTTCTGTTTTCGTGTCTTCAGATTGGAGAAAGGACAGCAAGTGAGGTGCCAGAACATGATCAGCGTAGTCAGGTTGCGATTAATTAGCACAGGGGATTGTCACTCCTGGCTATCGCATCACACTTGGATCTCTCCATCGATTTTCTAGTGTTGTTGTGAATCATGGTCTCCCACATTGTGACCCATTTGGTTTATGTCTGACTTTAAAATCCTGTTAGGTTTGCTAATACTGTCTAACAGAGGGGAAAAGATGCTTGTTCTGTTACAGCGAGTGTCTTTTTATTGGTACCAAGGAACTGAAAAACATAAAAGATTAGTGATGAGGTGCTGTGAAGCTGCTTGCCGCAAATATTTCTGTTTTTGATCTTTTTGCCAGTTTGGATGATGTTTTTGTATGAGTAAGATGACAGAATGCCGTAAGATTTTGGAAAAGTAGCCTTTGAGTGCTGAATTAGCTGGTCACATAACCAAAGTAAAAAAGGTTGTATGTGTATAAGTGTTTTGATATTTCTAACTTCAATTTGGTGTACAAGCCTTGTGCATAGGTGTAGACATTGCTACTCACCATAGCTTATGGCAATTCAGTTTATATTGCTGAAGATCAGACAGTTCTTTTTAAATATTAAAATACAGAAATGTGAAACGTACCGAGTAAGAGTTCTTTCAACATGTTAAATCTGTGTGCAGTATTTAACAATAACTGCTCAAAGGCACTAATGTCAGTTGAGGTGCTGCTTTCTGTAATCTAGATTTTCAGATAGTGCACACCACTTACTGTAGATAACGCGGCTGGCAGGTATTCCTTGAGGGCTCTGCACAGACTACTGCTCTGCCAACCCAGAAGAGTAACAGAGTCCAATGGTCTTCTCTTATCTTCCTGCATCTCTAGAAGGGGAGGTGTCCTTCTATCACTACGGCTGGAGGGACTGTGTTACGATTCTCTTCTACTTCCTAATTGCCATTATCCTTCATGCAGTTGTGCAGGAGTATGTGCTGGACGTGAGTATTCACATAAGCATCAATTCAACATGACCAAGATCAACAAATCAATCATTTCCAGAAATAACACTTTGGGTTAGCTCTAAGCTTGTTCAAAAATGCTAGTTTGCTTAGGAAATATTGCTATACTCCTTCTTTCTCTATTCAGATATCTGTTTCTCTATATGGCAATAATACTATCAATTAGATTTGGTCCTACTTAATGCTTATGTTTCAGAACAGAGCTTTTTTATATATATTTTGTCTTGACTGTAGTTTGTCTGATGCCCGATAAGCTCCATGTGCATAAATATTTTGCACTTACCTGTGTATATAAAAAACGTTCTTCCCTATACTGCTAAAAATACATTAAAATCTGGAAACTGTATATAGTTTTATAAAGTTTTCTCAAATGCAATGTGTTTGGTGTTCAAGACACTGCTGCATAATCATTCGACCACTTCTTTGCTGTTTCAGAAAGTTAACAGACGTCTCCATCTTTCAAAGAGCAAAAATACGAAGTTCAACGAGTCAGGGCAACTATGTGTGTTTCACTTAGCGTCTTCACTGTGGAGCCTCTACATTCTAATTACGGTGAGCAGATCATGTCTTGAGCATCATGTTGGAATGTGAGGCCTTTTGTGTCATTTGGCAATACCGAAAATAAAGGAGATCTTTGCTACCAATAATGGGTTAGGCAACTGAGTTCTGATTGCTCTTTTAAAGAACTATTAAATTGGGAGAATATCCTCTTTAACTTAAAGTGTGTAGTATTTAGTTGTTTTTTACTGTGTTAGTGGGTGCCGTTTCTCTCTTGGTCATGTTTACCTGCCCACGTTGTTC